ACAACCTAACACCAGAGGGCTGGGGAGGCCCCTTGAACCTATTGCGTTGTGAGCTCCACTCTCTGGGGAAGCGAGGAACTGAGGACCGGGGATTCAACCTTCTTAATTGTGAACCTCATTAGTGACGGTTGCTAAGCAAAACACACACCTACCTTCAGTGCATGGGAAGGAGATAAACAATACGTCACATGCTCTAATGACACTGGTGCTTAGGGCGACCTTTAATTATTATATTTTTGTTCTCTTATACCTTAGTCATTAATGTAGAAAAACAAATTAGTTTATTTTTGTGGACCACAGCAGATTCATAAATTGTCTTCCAGTTTTTGTCTGAATCATATTTCACGCTGATCATCTGCACACGCTTCATTCATTTTCCCGTGCGTGCATCTGTCTGCCTCGTGTGTGGCTCTTGAATGTGGGACCTCGGGATAGAGGATTTGTCTTAAAACCATTTAGTTTTATGGGCTCTCTGCTCTGAAGGATTCGATCATGCTGTTTTGTTTGCAATTCACTTAAAAAAACACTCACATTATTTTCTCAACAATTCATATTGGTCAGAATCTCATAATTATTATGAAATGTTTAATGGGGGAAATGGCTCTTATTCTAAAGGGGATGTGTTCAGTCGTGGGGACTGTGCAGAGCAGGAAGTGGGAGGTGCCTGAGGGGCTCGGCGCAAGGCCCACTGTGTCTGAGTCTTTCTGCATTCCGACCTGATATCCAAGGACCTTTCTCCCTACCCACCACCCTTATGGAAACCCTTCTCTTTTAACAAGCAAAACAAGATGTCAATCAATTGAAAGCATTTGGTTTAAAAGAAGAAAAATGTATTCTGGTTTGTATTTTCACCCCCTCCTCCTTGCCCCGACTCTTGTGTGAACACGCACACACACATGGATCACAGGCACACGCACTCCAGTCAGGGACAGGAAATGGTCCTGGCTGTCCCTTCAGAGCTGATTGGACCAGGATGTAATCACTCACTGGGCCTGCACGAGGTATCTGGGCATGAGCTTCTGGATGGGCGTTTCCGACAAACCAAAATAAAACCAAATACATTAAAATCGCAAGAAAAGCAGTAAGCAAAAGAACGCCTGGAGACATGAAGGCCGTGGCAGGTGAATGGGAAAGCCCCGCTGTTCAATAACGGAGAAGAGAAAGCTTAGGAGGGCTATCTCCCCTTCCATCTCGGGGACACCCCCTCGCCCAGCCTTGGTGCAGGAGGTCTGACCAAGGGCGGGGGCCTGGGGAGAGGAACTCCACATGAATGAACATAAAGGATGGTGCAAAGAAAAAGAAGCATCGCAAATTAAAAAAGACATGTAACATGTGCCTACCATTTTCCAGATAAGAAGGGGCCGTACCTTCTGACGGGTCGAGGCGGCGGGCCCGCCTCCCGTGTTTGGAATTGTTGTGCACAAACATGTTGTCTGACACGGCCAGCACGTGGCCGTCCACGTTGACTGTTGTCGATACAACAACCTGCAAAGATGAAGTGGATTTGAAAATGGAATTGGCAAAGGAAAGCACAGCCCCCGTTAGGCAAAATAAAAGTCATCTTAAATACTGCAGAGCACAAGGAAACTTCACGTGTTCCTGGACACTGTTGACTGATGTGCGTTCACAGCTTTTTTGGCTAATGGGGGTGGGTGGGTTGTTTTGTTTTGTTTTGACTCAAGATTGCTTCTCTTCAAAACCTGCTCCACTAATTACAGTTTAATCTCCTATTATGCTAACAAGTGAATTCAATTCAGAGAAATATTCTTCTAGCCATTAGCTTCAGAAACACCCCTCTAGCCACTCATTTTAAAGCTGCTGTTTTGATTGATCTGTTCACATATTGATTAGATAGTTTATCTAATTAAAATGAGTTCACTTGAGACCGGCCTCCCTTGAAGAGCTGGGAGGATTCAGAGTTGCCCCAAAAAGGCTTCATAAATCAGGAACATTCCTACTGCCCACATTTTATCAGGAAATGATCCCTGGGTCAATTTTACAATTACATTTAATGTCTGGTAATGAACTTTTTTGCATCTGAAAAGACCGAATTGAATATGAATAGTGGCGGTGTTTTCAATCCTGGAAAGGTATCCTTTCTCAAGTTCATTGCAAAGGCTGGCAAGGACCCTGGGATACCAAGGGAATGTCCTCTCTGTTTCGGTGAGGGCTTCCATTCTTAGGTCCAGGCACAAAGGATGTCTAGGGAAGAGATGACGCATCAGGCCCTCTGAAGCCCTCGGCTGCCTCGTGGTAGACGGAGAAACGAAAAGGGCCAGGCAGGGATGGCCTTGCAGACTCCATAGACCTGCCCAGGTGAGCTTGCCACAAACATCCAGAAATGGCACCTCTGAATGGACCCAGGAACCAGGAAATGACAACCTGGCCCTGAGTTTTCTCTAACAGAGGGGGTGCATTCATCCCGGACTAGCTGGAGCTGCAAAGATCTGAGGCCAGGTTTCATCTGGGTCTTGCAGAAGCACTCCTGGGGCTTGAGCCCAGCTCTGACCTGAAGGAGGTGTGGCTCTCTGCTACAGTTTGGGCATACTCGGCCATGTCTTTGGGTCAGCACCACCCGAGGGAACCAGAGCCCCACGGAGAATTGTGCAGCAGGTGCAGGTGAGTGGGGAACCTGAAGGGGCTCCTAGTCAGGGTTCACCTTCCCTGCAAGGCCCAGAAAAAACACACCATGCAAAATGAGCTTAAAAGCCAAGGCCACCGTAGGCCTTAGTGAATCACGCCATCTCAGTTTGGGTCAGCACATGTAAGGAATCCCCTGCACCAACATAATTGGGAAAACCATGGGGAGGGGCGCACAGGGGGTATACGGGCAATCTCTGTACTTTCTGCGAAATTGTTTTGTAAACCTAAACTTCTCTAAGAAAAATAAAGCCCATTAATAAAATAATTAAACTAGTTACCTAATACAAAATCAATATGATTCATTGTATTCAATGAGTCATTGAATATAAAACAATTAAAAGCAAACATACAAATAAGTAGTATTTTAAGGGGCTTAACCAATAAGCCAAAGCTATATGTTTATATACGAATACATGTGTGAGTGATTTTTTTTTTTTTGAGACGGAGTCTAGCTCTGTTGCCCAGGCTGGAGTGCAGTGGCACAATCTCGGCTCACCCTAACCTCCGCCTCCCGGGTTTAAGCGATTCTCCTTCCTCAGCCTCCCAAGTAGCTGGAATTATAAGCACTGCCACTGCACCTGGCTAATTTTTTTGTATTTTTAGTAGAGACAGGGTTTCATCCTGTTGGCCAGGCTGGTCTCGAACTCCTGACCTTGTGATCCACCCGCCTCAGCCTCCCAAAGTGCTGGGATTACAGGCGTGAGCCAACGCGCCCGGCCAGCTTTTTTGTTTTAAATCTCAGACTCTACAAGACGATGATGCAGCAGGGGCAGTACACACGGCACCCCACCCAAGGGCCCTCATCAGGGGCAGCTTCCCTGGCATTTCTTCCCCTTGGCCACTGCCAGGATTGTTGAAGTCACAACAGGGTCAAGCCACCCAGAACCTCAAAAGGTTGTAAGTGCTGCCCCAGCAACCCAGATCCAGCCTTGGGTATCTCAGCACCTTCCTTTTTTGACCACTGCCCCCTGACTTTGCCCTTTGCAGCCCTGGTGGGAGGCGGCTTTGCTGCCCCTTTAGTACCACTAGTAGGCCTGGCAGCCTCTGCCTGGAGGAGCCAAGGTCTGCTCCTGGTCACCCAGGTGCCCCCGTCGTGGTCTACCTCCCAGGCCCAGCCCTGGGCGTTGAAGACACTCTACAAATCCATAATCTGCATATGATGCAAAGATGCATAACTAACACTGAGGTGCAGACTTAACCCTTTTTACATTCCTAAACATGATAGGTTAAAGAAACATGAAAAAGTAAAAACAAATGTAAAAAGTTTTTAAAGACACAGGCTTTACTGTCACCTACATCTAGGTCAGTCACAAAGGGAAAAGAGTGTAGTTCAGCAGAGTGCAGACAGCAGGCAAGCTGTGCTCTGTGCCTCACCTGGGCCGGCCCTGCAGAGCACCTGCAGAAAGCTGCTGAGACTCTGAAAGTAGCTGAAACTATCGTGTAAGCCCTGCCATCCTCCTCGGTCCAGTTACACCTTCTGAGAGGCATGGGACTCAGCTAAAGAGACCAGAGGAAGTTCTGGTAACTACAGGGTCTGCAGTCAACCACGAGATCACCTGTGACTGATGCTGTGTTCGGTCTTTGGTGAGACAAAGAGGACACAGTCCCTCAGCCCTGCGTGACCTCCATTCTGCTTAGAAGGATCAGTATCACCAGTGCCCTGTGAAGCCTAGTGCGTGACAAATGAAAGCAGGCCCAACTGTTTGCAGGGAACACTGTCCCCAGCTGCAGACATGAAAGTGGGCGGGCCCAAAGAGCCCGCCTCCTCTGACCAGCTGACCGGGCAGGCACGGAGACAGATGTCATGTGATCCACTACAGGACTGAGGCGTAAGTTAAATTTCTGAAAAACGCTCTGAGCTATTTGATGGGAAAATCGTGTTAAATCCCAAACAGGGATCATTCTGCTCCTGGGTCATTCATCCAAGCTAGTGGTCATTTCTATTAGCTGCCAAATTCTTCTCTGGCTGGTTTTGTATCCCAGACCAGAATATTTTTACAGTTAAAATTAGCAAAATCATCCAATGTGTTTACCCTTAAGTAGCTTCCTAATCATTCACAAAAAGGCAAGAAAAACATGAATCTATCATAATGGTACATACATCTATCACAATTCATCTCTGAACCCCCCAGCCACCCCCTCTGTATCCGTCTTTTAGATAAAATCTTCTGAGGCAAACCAGAGACAGGACTTAGCCTGGGTTTAGGAGCCGACTAGCAACTAGGCATGGAAGGTGGGCAGTAAGAACACAGTAAACCTCAGGGGAAGGAAGCCGAGGCCAGGAAGACACTCTAGCAGTTGCAGAGGTCTATACTGAGCAGGTGCAGATCCCTCTATGAGGAGGGGCTCAGATCTGGAGTATTCCCAAAAGATTGCATTATAGTTCTCCTCCCACTGAAAATCAGTCCATCAATCAATCCCAAAAGAAGCACTTCTGGGCCAGGCACGGTGGCTCACGCCTGTAATCCCAGCACTTTTGGAGGCCAAGGCAAGCGGATTACTTGAGGTCAGGAGCTCAAGACCAGCCTGGCCAACATATTGAAACCCCATCTCTACTAAAAATGCTGGGTGTGGTGGTGTGTGCCTGTAATCCCAGCTACTCAGGAGGCTGAGGCAGGAGAATCCCTTGAATCTGGGAGGCGGAGGTTGTAGTGAGCCAAGATTGCACCACTGCACTCCAGCCTGGGCTACAGAGCAAGACTCTGTCGCAAAAAAAAAAAAAAAAACCTTCCACATGGCCATGTTTTCAAAGCTGATTTCACTCTGTTGTGCCCATATTGGACTTGATGAATCTGGCATACTGAATATACCAGATCATTCTTAAAGCATTTTATTTGCATATTTTTATCAAATGCACCAATTATCGTTTGCTTCCAAGCCTTTAAAGAACTCAAGATTACTTCCTGAACAGTTGCAAAATCAGAGAATTCAAATTTCATATAAAAAGTCAGGACCACGGTCCACGTGTCTTTGAGAAATGTATACCTGGAATCTCCGCATATCTCGAGGGTTGCCTGCATTCTTCAAACAGTTCTGATTGCACTTGAGGAAAAACTTTAGAAAGAATCTATAAAAAATACAAAAAGATGGTATTTATTAGGGTTATCAGACAAAAGACTCAAACTTTTTAAAAGACACTCTTGGTGGGGAGGAGTGGAGACTCAACCTCACCTCCCTCTAGGGGGCGACATTGAGAAGAGGCTCTGAAAGAGGCGGGGAGGAGGCACCCAGAAATAGCCACACAGGAGAGCAGCGAGTCGCATTTGCCTTAAGGCTACGGATGTCCAAGCTTTATGATGATAGCTGTGACTTTCGCATTGGCATTTCTTGGCTCAATCTTTGCACAACTGCCCATTAACCATGGGGGAAACATCCACCCCAGACAGGCCTATCGTCTCCAACCACTAAAAAATGAAGGATGCCTGGTTAAATTTGAATTTTGGATAAGCAAAAAATAATGTCCCAGAGCATACGCCTCAATAAAAAATTGCTGTTGACCTGAAACGGAAATTTCACTGGATGTGCTATATCTTATCTGGGCAACCCTAATTCCAGAGGCTACCACTGCCTAAGCAAACATACTTCTAAATATGGGTTTTAAGAGTTACAGTAGCGCCTATAATCCCAGCACTTTGGGAGGCTGAGGTGGGTGGCTGACTTGAGGTCAGGAGTTTGAGACCAGCCTGGCCAACGTGGTGAAACCCCATCTCTACTAAAAATACAAAAATTAGCCAGGTGTGGTGGCACACACCCATAATCCCAGCTACTTGGGAGGCTGAAGCAGGAGAATCACTTGAACCCAGAAGGTTCAGTGAGCAGAGATCGCACCACTGCACTCCAGCCTGGGCAACACAGCGAGACTCTGTCTCAAAAAAAGAAAAAAAAAAAAAAAAAGAGTTACAGTAGGTACAGCTCTTAAGAAGCAACTGGGGGGCTGGGGCAGGAGAATCACTTGAACCCAGGAGGCAGAGGTTGCAGTGAGCAGAGATCGCGCCACTGCACTCTAGCCTGGGCAACACAGCGAGACTCTGTCTCAAAAAAAAAAAAAAAAAAAAATCTCAGAACTGATTGGGAGGCATATTGTTTTAACCAAGAATTCTTGACGCGGTAATGAAACTATTGCGGAGGCAGAAAGCAAGGAGCAGCCCTCTGCAGGGCTGGAGAGGTGAGGCTGAAGCGAGTGTATTTCCATTTCCTGCCATGCCTTGCCCTTACGTTTCATGGCATGAAGATTCAGGGGTCCTGACAGTGTGTTGAGATGCTGTGACTAAAACGTCATCATGTTGCCCTCCCCATTCCTGCATGCTCAGTGACACTGCAGGAGAGCTGGCTTCCAGTCTGAACTCAAAGAGCCTGGGAAACCAGGCTCTAACACCACCCACGGGAAAAGAGGGTTGGCGGGTCTCTTCCTGCGCACCCTCCGCCTCAACTTGAAAAGGCCACAACCAAGAGGTCCCAGAGCTTGGGTCTGTGCCGACATACCCACTCGCTGCAAGCGGCCAAGCATCCTGTTCAGCAAGGCCATCAACACAAACCTTTCTCTATTTTCTCCCAAACTATCGTCTGTCCTACTTGGTGATTATTAATTTTTGATGAAGTTTCACATAATTTTCAAGGTTCCTTGCTGGCAATTAGAATATCAGAAAATGAAAAGACTCGACTGACCAAGACTCATCTCTCTAAGTGCACTCCCAGGATATCCTGGAGGACTTCTTACTGTGGCAGAAGAAAATCCAATTGATGGGGGAAAGAATGGTGGCTACTTAAATTTTCTTGCATACCATGAGGCCTCACCATTTTAGGCCGGAATTTACATCTTTTATTAACTCACCTCACCTATACACTTAGCTCACAATG